GCACACAGCAATCCCACCCCTAGGTACCAATATCCGGAAGTGAAAGAGGCAGGAAAGGGAATAGAAAGAAGCCTGTCCACCGGCATTCCGTGCAGCGCTTTTCCTCACAGCCCAAAGGTGGAAACAACCAGAATGTCCGCCAACCGATGAATGGACTCACCCAGTGTGATACATACCTACAATGGCATGTTACTCAGCCTTAGAGGGACAAGACGTTCAGATAAATGCTGCCGCGTGGATGTGTTTTGAACTCACTGGTGCTGGGTTCTGTCGCATTGGTTTTGCCTCGCAGGGACCCTGGGTCCGGCAGGACAGAACACTGCCTGTCTCGCACCCTCTTCACAGCTGTTCTGTTGGAGTCCACGGTCAGAGCCTCTGTGTCCATCCTTCTCCCCAAGGGGCTTCTTGTCTTGGGCTCTCTACCAAGCAGGCGGTCCTCTCCCAGGAACTGGTCTCACCTGACAACACGACCAAGGTATTTGAGAAGAAGTCTCACCAGCTTTGATGCCCGGGAACATTCTGGCTGTACTTCTCTGGAGACAGAGAAGTTTTGATGACAGTCAAAGACAGTTCGTTTTGATGACAGTCCCTGGTCTTTCAATCTTCCTCGCCAGCCCCGTAATTCAAGCCCATCAATTCCCCTCCAGTCTTCCTTCCTCACTGTCCAACTTGCACTTCCAGATGAGGCTATTAAGAGTAACCCGGTTGGGATCGGGCGCGCTTGAATCTTCAAAGGGAGATCTTACTGTTTAATATTTTAAAGATGTCTTGGGCAGCAGGTTTGCTCAAGGCAGTACGCGGTTTGCCCTCGTGACTGCTGCTCCCGCGAGAGCTGATGGTGGATCCAAGCCAGGTGATGGCCAGGATAACAGCAATCGTGTCTCCATGTGCCCTGGTGTCTGTTGGTCTGGTTATGAGGATTTGTGTCTCCTTTGCGTCGCAATGCACGCTGGAGGCTGTCGGCTGTCATTTTTATCAGCAAGTGCTTCAAGGCCTCCTCGCTTCCAGCAAAAAGAGTCGTATGCGCTGTGCATCCCAGGTTGTTAACAAGCCTTCCGCCAATCCTGGTGCCTCGTCATTCTCCATACAGCCCAGCTTCTCTGTCGCTCAGCATACAGATTGAATAAGGATGGTGAAAGGATACAACCTTGGCCCACGCTCTTTCTGGTTTTAACCCATGTTAAAGCAGAGTATTCCTATGATCTGTTTGAACAAACGCCGTTGGTCTGCGACAGGTTCCGCATGAGCACTCTTAAGTGTCCTGGAATTCCCGTTCTTCGCAATGAGATCTGTGGTTTGTGATGATCCACACAGTTGAACGCCTTTGCAGAATCAATTAAAACACAAGCAAACATTTCCTTTATGTACTTGCTTATGATATGAAGGATATTGTTTGAACATTTCTGCCTGGAAGCACTCACTGGTCTATGCTAAGAAATTTGGAAGGCCTGGCTAACCAATTGGAATTGACAGAATACATGTTGAAAATATGCTGCAATAAGTCAGCCTCGAAAGGAGAGCTACTATCTAATTGCACTTATATGAAATAAGCAAATAGGCAGAACTTACTATTGGCCACCAGGGTTGAGCCCCGGGGAGAGGGGAGTTTTGCTTCCGGGAGGCTGCGTTTACATTTATGGTGCAGGAGTCATCGGGGAAAGGATAGTGAGATGGTAGCACCCCATAAAGAGTGCAGTCACTGCCACCGAGCTCATGTACGTCAGAATCGTTGATTCTGTGAACGTGTTAATTGTCCACAATGAAAGAAAGAAAACCCTAGGGGCACACACAGTTCCATCCTGACACACGTAGGTCACCATGAGTTGGTGTCAACTTGCGGACAACTGGTTTTGGGGTATCATAGGCACTTTGTACCAAACCTAAACCTGTTGCCTCTGAGTCAACTCTGACTCAAACAATGGCCCTATAGGACGGAACAGAACTGCCCTATAGGGTTTTCTCTATGGAAGTGAACTGCTCCATGAGTCTCCTGCAGAACGGCTAATGGGTCCGAACTGCTGACCTTTCAATCAGCAGCTGGTCACTTGACCTTTGCCTCAAGCCCCCCATGTGCCAGTTGCACATACCAGCACTCTGAGAAGCACATTTACCAAGACTCTGAGAAGCACAGGTGAGAAAAACCCAACACTTAGGCAATAGAAGTAGCTCATCAGACTCACATGCGAAGAGGCAACCCAGGTAGGATTCAAGTTCAGGCCCAGCTGACTGGGGAGTCGTGACCCCCTCCACCCAGACCTACTAGTGCTGGGGTCTGGTGCCTTGTACGCATTCTTTCGGTGCTCATCACAGGAGAGCTGTGTGTTGCTGGCAAGAATACTGAGGCACAGGGAGAGTCCGTACCTGGAACAAAGTCACAGGCCCAGCAGGTGGTAGAGGTGAGACGTGGACTTGGTGGTCTGAGCCCAGAACTCACTTTCTTCCCTACCGAACCAACTGCCCCCCGCCATGAACTGGTTCGAATGCGCTGCAGATTCCTAAAGCACAGGTTTTGTTTGCAGAACTTGAATGCTATTCGAGAGGAGTCCGAGATGCCCGCCATTGAGATGAAGATCGTGGAGTGTGGCGAGAACATCACGCAGCTCTTCAACGAGCTCATGTCCCTGGAAATGCAGCTGGTAGAACAGCTGGAGGTAAGTGGTGCGCACAGCCCCGCCGGTTCTGAGCCCGAGGCTCCACAAGAACAACCCCGGGTAGACGGTGACCCACAGGCCGGGGCCACTACTGCCCCCCAGCCTGAGGGCCAGTTCTGGCTGGCCAGTCCTGCCTGGTGTTTTGTGTGATTGTAGGCTGGATTTGAGAATGGATTCTCTTATGGAGAATGAGATGTGAGGCTCAGCCCCAGTAGGGAGAGGTTTATTGAAGCCCCAGGAGCCATTGAAAGGTACCAGTGGCCCTACTCCCCAACCTGGCCTGGGTGCACTGTGGAGAGGGCAGGAGATTGCAGTTGAGCCCTAAGCACGGCCCTTCAAGATTCACGGGCGCACAGTGACAGATGTTCCTGAGGCAGCAGGCCATGAGGCTGAGTGGGGTGATAAATAGAATCTCCTCAGATGTTACCATGACTGGCCCAGGAGATAACGCCTAATCAGCCCCTCACAGGCCAGACAGGGCAGACTCTTCACGTCGGACAATAGCTTCTGTCTCTACGGGGCTGCGCCAGCTCTCCAGCACACAGCAAGTGTGCTCTGGGGAGGCGAGACAGCTGCCCAACCTTCTCCAGCAGGGGGCCCTTCGCAAGCTCCCCAGAACCCATGTGCAGGCGAGCATGTGCTTGCTCTCCAGCGGCTAAGCCTGTCGCAGCTGCATTTGCACGCAGCTGAGAAACGTGTGATTGGCCCAGCCTGAAGCCAGGCCTAGTCTAGATTCTGCCTGCAGCTCCTTGGGTCTAGGGCTGTCCAGGGGACTGGCCCAGCCTGAGGGACAGGACGGCAGGCCCGGTGACGTCTCACTGTGTCTCCACAGGCACAGGGACTCAGCCTTGCCAGCCTTCCCTGGGGACTTCTTTCACTGCACATCTGGGTGAGGTGACTGTTTTGCACCTTGCAACGACCAAGTGCTATTGAAAGCCCCATTCCATAGGTGGAGGAGGAAGGCCCCAGAAGGTGAAATTCTGCCCAATAGTTGGCCGTGATGGCAGAGCTGGAAGGCAACGCCCTCCCTATTTCTGTGGCATTGCATTGGGGAACGGGGGCTCTGTGGGGGGCTGGGGACGCAAGACTAGCCGGGACAAGCCCAGCCAAAGGCTTAAAGGAAGCGGTGAACATTCAGGGCATGTTTAGGGAGTTGATGGGGCCAGAGGGCAAATGCTATGGGAAGAGGTGGGACCAGACCCAGCACCCCAGTAAGGTGGAAGCAGGTCTGAACCCCGAAGCTTGAGAGCAGATGCCATCCAGCTGTGGCCCCAGGAAGCACACATGCTAACTGTTCTTTATCATCCCCAGGAAACGATAAACATGTTTGAGAGGAACATCATAGACCTGGTGGGACTCTTTATCGAAAATGTGCAAGGCCTATATCCTACCCATGAAGACCCTCTAGACACCACTGGCCTGTGGGGTCACTCTGGCAGCTTCAGCACCCCCACTCCTTCCTGGGGTGGGAGGGGTGTCATTAAATGGAAAAGAAGGGAAGCTTCTGAGCAGACTGGCAAGATGCAGACAAGCAGGTCCCTTCCAGGTGACTGCCTGCCGTGCCCACACCTGTCCTCCCTCCCACTGTCACCAGCACCCTAAATAGGTTTAGACAGAGATAGTGTCACCTGAGTGTTGCCCAGGAATAGCCACACCCACTGGATTTACAGAAAGTTGTCCACCACCAAATGAGACGTCAGCTCACACCGGATGCCAGTCTTGTGAATCTACACCTTTGAAATCAGAGGAATGTCAAAACTTACTGCTCACCCAGGGGAAAGCTTACCTCCCAAAGGTCAAGATTAGGCAGGGTCTGAGGGTGTCCCCCAGATGCCCCTCAGACCCTGGCCTTATGGGAGTCACTGTGCAGATGTGTAGCACGGCCCTGTCCAGGAAGAGTCCTGGCATGCCTGTCCCCATGTCTAAAGTCACCATGGGGTGACTCTGGACATGAGTGGGTGAACACTCATGTCCTCCCCACGAAGGATCCCTGCAGATGCCTGACAGTGAGCTTGAGCTTGTATGATTGACACCAGGATAGGAGCTGGCGTGGCCAATACCAGGATTGGGGCGTGGCCTCCCTGCTGCCACTAAACTCTGGGCCCTGCCATTCAGACAGGGGTGGGGCAAACTGTTGGGCTTTAGAAGCACTCTGGCTCCTGCCCCAAGAGGTCATCGGGCGGGAACAGCAGGTGTGGCTGTGTTAAGTAGCAGTGGAAGAACAAGGTGGGCAACACTGAGCCAGGGCCACAGGGTGGAAGGGGGGGGGGGGGCGCGGGCAAGAGAAAGGAAAAACTCCAAGGTTGGGCCCTGAGGTCTGGTCCCACGAGGAGACCTGCAGACCACGAGCATCATCCTGCGCCGCCTCCTCAGGAGCAGTGAGTGGCTCTAAGCCAGTGGGCCGAGGCCCGGGCTTTGAATGCTGTTCTAGCTGACACAGGGAGGAGAGGTCTGGCGGGACACGTCCAGTCAGGAGGTGGAGGGCTGGCCCTGGGGTGGCCATGGCCGTGGAGAGAGGTGACGGAGGACAGAGATGGGCTATGAGGACGGGGATGCGGTGGGGATCTGGGTGGCCCTGGATGCTGGTACGTGCATGACTCAGAGCACACCCTACTGCCCTTATGCTCTCCTTGCTGGAAGAGCGGGCTCTCAGTGCTGCTTGGAGGTCCATGCCCCTCAAGCTGGCCCACCCACCCCACCTGCCGCCCCTCCTTTGCTTAACTCTCGGTGCACCATGGCTCAGTGCCGGGACCTGGAGAACCACCACCACGAGAAGCTCCTGGAGATTGCCATCAACACCCTGGAGAAGATCGTCAAGGGCGAGTTCGATGAAGACCTGCCTGACGATGTCCGGGCGGTGAGCAGGGCGAGGGGAGTCGTGGGCACCGTTAGATTGTAAGAGCTCAGGTTCGTCCGGCCCTCACGGAGCCTCGGGGTCCCCACCTGCAGAAGTGGAGCCTGAAAGGTGTGCTCCAAAGCTTGTCACTGTGGGGGTTCCTGGCACTTTCAGATAAAGGGCCATGGAGACAATCCCGGCTCATACAGAGAGCCTGAGCTCCCCCCACCCCCACCCCCAAGGTCTCCTCCGCCCTGCTTCTCTGCGACCCTGTGCTTCGTGATGTGAAGCGTGCCGAAGTGGCAGGTCAGCCTGCTAAGGGAGGACATGGGGCCCGCACATCTTCCCAGGACCCACATTTCTCACCTCTCCTCATCTCCTTCCCGCCCCCCTCACCAGTCAGGCCCTGCCACCCAGCACCCCCCAGACTACCACCCACCGAGCACCCAGACCACTGCCAAGGGCCCCCTCAGGAGTTTCCCGCAGTAGCTGGAGACCCAAATCAGATCACAGCTGCTCTGCCCGGAGCCCTCCCATGGCTGACCAGTCCTCCCACCCACGCCTGCCACTGCAGGTGATGCTCTATCCAACAGACTCTCTCGCCCCAGGTCTCGCTCGCTCGCTTTGGGAGCCCAGCGCTTCCTTGTCATTCAGCTCTCCGCTCAAATGTCAGCTCCCAAAAGAGGCCTTCCCGTCACCTCATCTCCGTCACACCCCCATCTTCCCTGGTCCCAGCCCCGGTCTGGGCTTCCTGCAGCCTTGTTTCTGTGGCTGGACTCCCTGGACTCTGTGGACACTCCAGGGAAGCCTGCAGGGGGCAGGGACTGCCTCCCTCACCACCGTCCTGGGGTGGCAGTGCTGGGCCTGGCAGTGGAGTCAGGGTGGGCTGTGCAGTGAACAGGTGGGGCATCCCTGAGCCTCTGCCTCACGACAGGTGCAGCTCGGCCCAGCAAAGGGAGCCAGGATGCCCAGCTCCAGAACCAGCTGTGGGTGGCAGGGCCACACACCAAGAAGCCCTGGTTGCCGGCCTTCCATCCCTAAACACTCACTCACTGTTGCTAACCAGAGTCAGGGAGGAGCCATCTCCCAGACCAGAAAGTGAGGCTGAGCCCACTCTGGATTGCGGATGGGCAGGTCAAGGGGGCCAATGGCGATTGGCAGGGCAAGGCTGAACCGTGCGCAGGAGGAGAATGGTGGCCCAGGGTCAGCAGAGAGGCCGTTTGGCTGACCTGGGCTCCTGACACCTGTGTGCTCCTGGGCTGGAAGGGGACCAGCCACCTGCTGCAGAAGGAGGCCACCTCGCTCGCTGGCCAGGCCATCAACACTGAGTGAGGCCACCCAGGGTTAGTCATGTGAGGGTTGACGCCGCCTGAGCCTGCTGGACACGTGTGATCTCAGTGAATTCTCCAAAGGACATTGCACTGGAGGCGCCATTATCATTGCCATGTTACACACCTGGTGTCGGTGTCCTCTGCTACTCCACCAGCCCCGACTCCACGCACCACAGAGAGCAGTGCCGTGCGCACCATGCCCGTGGCTGGCGACACGTGGGCTGTGGTGAGCCGCAGGTTTTTGTGGCTGCTTTTCAGAAGCAGGTCTGGGCGGGGGTGGGGGACCTTCCCCCGAGGCCTGTTCAGCATCATAGCAACACTCAGGCGTCCACTGGCACGGCCCGTGGCCATGGCGCCTGCCGTGCTTTTGGCAGGCCACCGCTGAGCCACCACTGCCCCCTACTGATGGGAAACAGGGTGCACCTGAAGCAGAGGGCTTTGGTTGGTAGATTGCCCGAGATCCCACAGCTGTGAGCATCTGAATTTCAACACCAGTGAGCGATGCGGGCTCAGGCCCCCCTGCTGTACACTCCAGGTTAGCATCTCTGGTAGTGCAGCTCTTCCTGTGAGATGAGAAGCCGCCTGGGGCTACTGGGGGTGGGGTGGGGGGCAGTGCTGCCCTGAGGCCTCACAGGGGCGGCCATGGGCACCAGAGAGCCTCCCCCTGGAGACTGGGGCTGGGGCTAGGGTGTGCCTCAGCCTTTGAGAACTCCCACAGTTGTAGCAAGAGACATCCCCTAGACCTTGACACTGTTGCCGTAAGTCTCCTCAGATGTAAGCAACACAACAGGGCATGCTCTTCTCAGGGGGCAGAGTGTGTCCTGCCTGGACAGTCCCCGGGGTTCATGATGGCCCCTTGCACAGATGAGGAAACCGAGGCACCGCATGGCGGAGTGACCTGTGCATAGACACAAGCTGTGGAGTTCCGATACAACTTGATTCCGAGCCTTTGACAGATACGTCCACTGAGTTTGTAGCCAGACCGGGGACAGAGGACCGGGTGTGAAAACTCTGGCTCCTTCTTGTGGCCTTATCTCCAATGAGTGAGTTCTGACCCAAAAGGCGCCCACCAAGCCCACGGGTCTCTTTCTGTCGCTTCTCACTCAGCTGGGTAAACTGTTACCAGTTTTTGCCAAACCAGTCCGACTGTATCGTCCAGCCCTGCCAGGTATTGGAGGCGAGAACAGAATGCCAAGTCCAGGGCCCGTCCCGATCTGGTGAGGCAACAGGACCCTGCACAGAGGCCGGTGTGGCTGCAATCGGGTCAGGGCCCAGCTCCAGCCCCAGCCCGAGTCTCTCTCCCATGGCAGCAGCAGTGGGAAGCCAGACGCCTGCCCGAGGCTCTGACTGTCCACACCCATGTCCAGCGGTGAGGCAGGGTCAGTGCCTGTGCCCAAAGTCCCTGAAAGCATCCCAGGTGGCCATCGATGCACAAGGAGAGTGGCAAGGCCCAGCCGGGGGCATAGGCGTGCGGGCTGTGTACTGGGGCCCTGAGGAGGGAGGGCCAGGTGGGACCTGGGCGGCTCCCTGAGCACAGCTCCCTGAACTCAAGTCCCTGAGCTGCTCAGGTGAGCTGAGGGAGGAAGTATCTCTGCAGCGAGGGGACACAGTGCCATTAGGTATTTGGGCAGGTGACAGGATAATAGGATCCCATGTGGGCCTGGAGTGGTCAGTACTTAGGACCACCAGCATCACAGTGATCCTAGGGAGGGACACCAGCTGTGCCCTTCTCAAAAGCCCCCCTCCCCTGCCCCCCTTGAAGTTGCTTAGAAAGAAATTGGCTTGTTCCCTTGGGCCGGACTGCGGCTGTGCAAAGCCAGCAAGGAGCGGAGCAGCAGGCCCCTTAGGTCTGGTGGCCTGTGTTCCCCAGGCTCCGTTCACCCCAGCAGAAACCAGAAGAGCATCCCCGGCCCTTTACTTACGAAAGCTGTTCCCGGGCGGTGGGGGTGGGGGGGAGCTGAAGCATCCAACCCCCGAGGCCCCCGAAAGGCAAGACACACTGTGGTATATTGTTATTTCTTCTCCCGTTGTTTCTTCAAACCAACACCAGACCCACTGCCATCAGTCAGCCGTGAGTCACAGCTACCTCTCCAGACAGAGAACTGCCCCTTTGGGTTTCTGAGGCCCCCAGTCTCTGTAGGAGCAGACAGCCTCATCTTTTTCCCAGGGGAGTGGCTGATGCCCGTGTGGTTAGCCGGCCACACAGCCCACTAGGGTTCCTTTCTTACTCTTTCTATTCCTTTAAATCGGCCCTCTTTAATTTGTATTCTACAGACATCACAATTTCTGTGTGTGTGTGTGTGTGTGTGTGTGTGTGTGTGTTTTATAGCAGATGCTATCTAACCTTCTACCGTTCTAAGTGGACTTCCATTCCTGTTGCTTTCCACCACCTACGAAGCGTGTCTTCTATGTAGACAACAGCTTTACACGAATGTAGGGGGTCTTCGTTCTGCAGGGTGCCCACGCTGTGTTCATGACCCCTCTGTGGAAAGCAGGCTTTGCACATCATCAAGCCTCCCAAGGGCCTTGCCTGGGCTGTCTCTGCCCAGAGGAAGAACCTAGCGCCTCCTGGTCACTTCTCCTGTGTGACTCTGCTAATTGGTTCCCCAGACACTCCACTGCCCACATCCTCTAACCAGCCTTTTCCCACTTGGAATTCCATGGAAAAACGAGTGCCCCACCAAATGCGAATGGCATGCCTCTAAGGAGTCTGTGCTCAATTCATTAGCAAATGGCACGTTTTAAGTTTAAGTCTCCTTAGGACTTTCTAGAACCTTCAAAGCACTTTGTGTGCTGTGGCCACTGTAACAGAATACCACCGATGTGGTACTTTAAAACAACAGGAATGTATTTGCTCACAGTCCTGGTGGCCAGAAGTCCAAAATTAAGGTGTCAGCTGGGCTACGCTCCCCTCCAGAGACCCAAGGGGAGAACCCTTCCTTGCTTATTATTCTGGTGGCTCCAGGTATTCCTTGACTTGTGGCCACCTTGCTCCATCTCTGCCTTTGTGATCACAAGGGCTGGTGTGTGTGTGTGTGTGTGTGTGTGTGTGTGTGTGTCTGCATTCAGGCCCCATTAGGAGAATGCACGATAAGCTCCTCCTCTCATGATCTTTGGCCACATAAAATAATATTCACCCTTTTGCCATATAAGGTAATATTCACAGATTCTGGGGGTTAGGAAGTGAATCTATCTTTGGGGGGGGGCTATTTATTTTTAGCCTCCCACAGGTGTGCAGGACTTCACTACCACATTTGTCCAAAGAATACTTTTTGGGAAGAAGCAGTAATATCTGGATTCCAGAGAACATATCCTCTGGAGACCGTTAAGTTCGCCACGACTGTGCAAACCAGAACCAAGTGTTCTTGCTGTCCTCGCTGCAATCTAGAAAGTCTTGGGGTCTTTCGTATCCATCAGAGCACCTTCCAAGTGGAAGCAGCAGCTTGCTAAATGCTCAGGCAGGCCTTCCCCGGCCCTGGGAGACAATTCTGTGGGACAGTCAACCATCCACCCCACACACACAGCAGTCATAGCGTGAACATCTGGAACCGCCCAGGCCGGTGACTTCTTCCTGACAGAAAGCAAGGTCAGGAACAAGAAAAGATCAGAGAATGCACCAGACAGAACCAGAGTCAACTTTGTGCACGTGAAGGCATGGCGGGTCTGAGCGGTCTGGGTGTGCATCGGCTGGTGGGACCCTCCGTCCTCAGGGAGCTGTCTCGAGTCCTGAGCGAGGCTCCCAGCTCTTCACTGACCAACAAAGGTTTGGGGGAAGCTCACACTTGAGAACAGCGAAAAGGGGGAGCTGCTTTGGCTGGGCCCCTCCAAAGTCCAAGGCTGTCTCTTGCCTTTTCCAGGAGGACACCTGCTCATAGTTGGGGCTCTGAGTCAGCACCCTGGGTTGCCCTTCCCTACAACCCTGGAATTGCTCAGGTCTGGGAGGCAGCGGGCGCTGAAGGCAACCGTGGTGCCACCTCCCCTGTCCCGAGGACTTGGGCTCCCCTTCCATTAGGGTGGACAGCTGTGCTCAGAGTGAGCCAACACCATCTCTTGGGCCATTCTCACTCACCAGCTTTTTGTCGACAAAGACACCATCGTCAACGCGGTGGGCGCCTCCCATGACATCCACCTGCTGAAGATTGACAACCGGGAGGACGAGCTGGTCACCAGAGTCAACTCGTGGTGCACGCAGCTGGTGGACAAGGTGGGTCCAGTGGGCCGGGGCCCGGTGGTCAGCCGGAGAGAGTGTGGAACTTCTCCCTCAGCTGTATGCACAATTTCCCACTAAAAAATCCAGAAGGAAATAAAAGGAGGGGTGGTAGCATTCCAGACAGAAGGCCTCACTCAGAGGCTTCGAGTCCACGGGCTTCCTTTTTTAACTCCTACTTCAGATAGACAAAGGGACTTCCAAACGTTCGTGGAAAAGTGGAATGAAAAGATGACATTTCCCACTCCCCACGAACCTGTTGAAACACTCTCATATGTCTCGTTCGCGGCCCCTGAGTCAGTTCCCAGACACGGTAGCTCCGGGTGCCGTAACGCAAAATGCTGCCCGGCCCCTTGCCATTCTCCTGATCGCTGCCTCCCGAAATCCTTGCTGCCTTACCCCCTGGGGGGATCCTCTCGCAGCACGGTGGGAGACCATGTCCGCTTGGGATCCACAGTGTTTTCTGTGGCCGAGAACCAGAAGCAGATCCCCAGGCCGTTCCTCCCAGCCCGTCTTCATCCCAGAGCTCCCGGACACACCTGCCCACCAGAGCCCCTGCTGGCATTTGGAACCCCCGTGGTATAGGTTCCAGCCTCACAGCAGCACACAAGCCACCACAGTGTGACCAAGTGACAGGCAGCTGGTGCCCTCAGACTCTGTAAAAGACGTTAGCTGAGCCCTTGAGGAGGCCATGGCCATTGTCTGTCTCCCGCACAGATTCACGTCAATGAAATCACCAGGAACCGCAGGCGTGTGAAGGAGATCAACCAGTACATCGACCACATGCAGAATGAGTTGGACAACCTGGAGCTCAGCGATACGCTCGACTAGGTGTGTGTCAGCCCTCAAGCCCCTGCAGGAGGAGGCAGCTGGACGCTGACGGTGTCTGCACAGGGACTTGCTACAACTCCCCAGCCACCGCCCCGGGCGCGACCCTTCCCCACCCCAGGACAATCTCCAGATGCAGAAAGTAATAAAGGGCTTCTTTAAAAGAAGCCAGAATTCACGTCCATGGGCAAGAAGGGGCCACGGCCCAGAGCAGCAGCAATTCCCCGCATGTGGCCAAAGGGATGCACGGCCCCACTGAAGCAGGGGCTGACATGGGTGGAGGTTCTCCCCACTTGGGTATCGTGCTGATGTGGGGCAAGAGAGGAGAAACTGCACCCCTGCTGTGGGCCTGTGCCAGCCACTGAGGTCTGGAAGCAGGGACCCGAGTCCCACAGGAGGCTTTGGCACTGCCCAGACTGGCCTCCATCTCAGGCATGGGGCGCCGGCCCCCGTCAGGAGCTCCGGCAGACAGGGACTACTGGTACATGGAGGGACATGGGTATGTGCCACCCCCACCCGCCTTTAGTACTCGAGTGTAAGGATAGGAGCCCCAGGAGTCCTCGGTTGCCAGAGCCTCCAAGCCACCCAGAGCCACGGAGCCGAGTGTCTAGGGGCAAACTGGGTGAGGAAGACACGCCAGTGCCCCTGAGGGAGCCAGCCAATGGAGAGCAGGGAGGATGGGACCATGACCACGGGGGAGTCCTGGGACTAGAGGACATGATGGTGACCATGTGAAGAGACCCAGGCACAGAGAGCATGTTGATGACCAGGTGTGTGTGTGTGTGTGTGTGTGTGTGTGTTGTAGAGGACACTGAGGTGGCCATGTGGGAGGGGCTGGGCGTGGAGGGTGTGGAGGTGATTTTGTGAGGGCCACCCAACCATGGAGGGTGTGGTCGTGACCATGTCAGAAATCTGGACATGGAGGCCATGAAGGGTACCCTGCGGCTAGATCCAGGCCTGGGGCATATGGAGATGACCGTGTGACAGGGACTTATCTGTGGAGAATGTGTGTGTCGGGGGGCCAGGTACCGAGGACATCTCAGTGACAGTGTGAGAAGCCCAGGGACTGCAAGTGACCATGGTGTTGAGAAGGGATGGGAGTGGAGAGGATGAGGTGACGATGCCAGGCGGGAGTCCCCAGGTGTGGAGGGTATCCGGTGGGAAAACCAGGTGTGCAGGACCTGAGAATGACCATGGGGAAGGACTGAGGCATGAAGGCCATGGAATGGTGTGTGTGTGTGTGTGTGTGTGTGTGTGTGTGCGCGCGCGCGCTACCCAGGCATGGAGAACATGGAAGTGACCATGTGGGAAACCCAGGCCTGTGTGGAGAGAGCCATGCACTGAGAGCCTGCTGCTGTGGAGGACAGAGAGGGGCTCTGCTGGGGGAGACCCAAAGGTGGGAAATGGGAAGGGAAGACTGTGTGGGGAAGGCCAGGTGTGGAGGGTACAGAGGTGACCATCTGGAGGGTATAGAGGCACCGAGACAGAGAATATATGACAATGCCCACAGGGGCGACCCAGACCTGGAAGACATGCC